AACTCGACAAAGCCTTTATGATCGACGACTTACTAATAGCTCTATATATCAAAGATGTAATATTCACATTGAATCGACCACTTATGTTTTTATTGAATGTGCGATAGCCCCGGCTTTGTGGAGAGAGATGGGTTACTCATGGAATGGGATTGATGATTCTCTGGATTTTGTTGGTCGGTTAAATTGGTTATTCAATTCCACGGATAGTCAAAAGCATGCTGAGATTTTGGTAATCCTATAGGCATTATGGTACACACGCAATAGCTACTGCCATCAAAATACAATATTGAGAAAGAAAGAGGTGTTTACCTTAATCCAATCGTAGTGTCGTAACTTTGCACCTGCTATTCTGATGATTCGGGCTCCTTCAGCGCCCCCTCCGGTGCGATGGCTAGCCCCCCTCAGTCGTTTGTAAGGGCAAATTTCGATGCCCAATTTGTGCCTGTCACTCTGTTTTTTTGTTCAGGGGTTATAATTCGAGACGAAAATGGCTTTATTATGGGTGCACGCAGGGAAAGGGCTCAGCGAGCGTGTTACCTTAACGTTTATGGTGGAAGTTGAGCGGTTGTTGATGCTGTTATCTTTGCTGATGATCTGGAATTTCATAAATTAGTGGTTGAAGGTGATTCAAGATCGATGATTTTTAAGGCTTCTTCCACTGAAAATGATCTATTTAAAATCAGTTTGTTTACATGGGAACTGAAGAGTCATACAATCTTTTCATACATGAGTTTTTAGAGCGGTTAAATTTTGCAGCTCGTCTTGTTGCTACTGAATCTTCGGTTGGTTCGTCTGACCAATATTAGGTGGAAGAAGCTTCCTCTAGAGTGGAAGCGCAAACGTCGAAAGATCGTCTCTGTCTTGATCCACCTTGATTGCTGTTGGAACGTCTGGTTTGTGTTCATGCAGGCTCTGGAGTTGTTTTCTCCTTGTTGTGGGTCGCTTCATCGTCTTCATCTCTGGTGCAAGGTTTCGAATGGTCGTCTGTTTAGTTTTGTTTGGTTTTCGTTTTTGGTTTGGGTTTTGTGTTTTTGAAATCCATTTTCCTTTTTCTCTGTTTTTTTTTTCTTTGGAATTCTTTGTTGACACGTTCTACTTTTGCATTAATGCAAGTGGTCGGCCATCTTTTTGATCTCTCTCTCTCTATATATACTTATATTATATACTTATATAAGTATATACTTATGCTGTATGCATAAGTATAATATACCTTATAATATATATTCATGTATTATAACATTCATCATATAATATATATATATATATATTATATACTTGTTTTAATTTTTTTTTCAATTTTTAAAATGAATGCAATTCAATTTATTTTATAATTTTTCACATTTTACAATTATTTTAATTTGATCTCTCTGTGTTGTTTAATTTATTTAAATTTTAATTTATAATTTCATATTTATTCAATTTAATCCTTAAAATTATATTTGTATCTGAAATTGGTCCATACTTATTTATATTTTTGTAATTTACTTCATACCCTATAAATCACATAATAAACTTCATTTCAAATTTTATAAATTATATTATAATAACCAAACTCTATAAACTTTTGTTCACCAACTTTTTAAATGGATACAATTTAATGCAAGTTTATATTGATTTCAACTTCACATTTTAAAATTATTTTGATTTGATCCCTCATTAATGTGTGTTGTTTAATTTATTTAAATTTTTTGTTGTAATTTCATGTTTGTTCAATTTAATCATTCAAATTATATTTTTATCAAAATTGATCTATAATTATTTATATTTGTTGTAATTTACTCTAAATCATCTACAATTATAAATTGTAATTCAACATTCATGAAAAAGGTGAAAAATAATTAATCCAAAAATAAAAAATGACCTGACCTAAAGTCAATCTATATTCGGTAAGATCCGACCTAAATTTTGTCTATCAATGATGTGACCCAATCTGAATAAGATCTGACTGAAGTCTATCCGAACCTGAATTAACCTTATATTTAATTACTTCGGACCTAAACCATTTTACATGAACTGACATCGATCTGAACTAAAATTAACCTAACCTGAACTCAAACTAAATATGATGTCAAATCAACCTGAAAATGACTCAATTACAACCTTTTGAATTGATTTTGATGTACTTGGATGAAACATTTTATTGTATCAAATCACTCTGTATAATTGATTGATAGACCCTTATAGAGTTTTGGTGATTTAAAATTTATTTGGACTGAAAAAAACTTTATGATATAATTCATTTATTAAAAGGTAAAATAAAAACAAAATTTGAGGAATATGTGGACACAAAGTAGCGAGCTTGTATAGTTTGAAATCGTACAAGACTGTATTTTTTGCGTTAAATGTTGCCCGGAGATAGGAAACATGAGTTGAGTAGGGTTATTACTAAATAAGTTTTAGAGTAAAGTATAGTAATGGTCACTGAACTTTTCTAAAGCTTTCATTTAGGTCTCTAAACTTTTAAAACTTGCAATATAATCCCCCAACATTTAGTCCGTTTGCAATATGGTCACTCAACATTTAGTCCGTTTGCAATATGGTCCCTGACGTAATTGTTGGGGGACTATATTGCAAACGGACTAAATATTGGGAGACTGTATTGCAAGTTTTAAAAGTTGAGGAACCTAAATGAAAGATTTAGAAAAGTTCAGTGACCATTACTATACTTTACCCAAAATTATATGAGATCATATCCTTCTCCTCTGCAATTCCTTTTGCATGTCACGTATTTCCATCGAAAGCAGATAAGAACCAAGTTAGAATCTAATACTGTTACCAAAACAACATGACAGCACATAACAAGACAAAATTGAAGATATATTGGCATATTCTTTAGCAACTTTATTCATCATGTGTCTGTGATAATCTATCCTATGTCTGAACCTATTAGATGCCAAACATGCATGGGGCAATCTTTATTCCTATAATCCACAAAAAAATGTAAATTATATCACCATCCAGGAAAAGAAAAAGGTACCTTCCCATATGTACATTATATCTGTAACAAAATTCTGTAGGGAATTTGTTGCATTAATTAGGTGTTCGGCAGTGATTAATTTGCCATTTGGAATAATACATTGTATTATCTACAATAGAATGCACTACAGCTAATGCTCTCTCTATATAAAGACATGAGATTTTGCTCAACAAATTAAACCTTCTTTTCTTCTAACCTTCATCGTCCACTCAAACAGTTTACACATTCTTCCTTCTCTGGATTCAACTCAAATGGAAGCAACTCAAAAGAAGGGATTCTTCAGAGGCAGGTTAACCAAGTATTTCTCTCTATTTACCAAGCCAAGGCCCATCAGAGGAAGCAGCAGCAAGGTGGTTCCCTGCTCGACGAAATCGACACTGAGCTATTCGTCTATTCCGAGGGTGTCGACCTATTCTTATGCTAGCTTGAAGCAGCCGACTAGAACTTCCCATGAACAGAAGAATATTGCGAATGTTGCATCATCAATGCAAAAGGTGTCGTATGCGTCTGCAATTGAGTATTGGGGTCATGGCGACGAAAACGTGGATGTGAAGGCCTCGAGCTATATTTCAAACGTCCGACAACGTTTCCAGCTTGATAGAGTTTGATTCCACGTTACATGTCATATATATGTATCTGATAAACCATAATTATGGTAATTATGGTCGGGCTTAAATAGCTAATTATTATTATTAGGGTAAAGTATAGTAACGGTCACTGAACTTTTCTAAAGCTTTCATTTAAGTCACCCAACTTTTAAAACTTGCAATACAGTCCCCCAACTTTTAAAACTTGCAATACAGTCCCCAACATTTAGTCCATTTGCAATATGGTCCCCCAATAGTTACGTCGGGGACCATATTGCAAATGGACTAAATATTGAGGGATCATATTGCAAACAGACTAAATGTTGGGGGATTATATTGCAAGTTTTAAAAGTTAGAGGACTTAAATTAAGCTTTAGAAAAGTTCAGTGACCATTACTATATTTTACCCTAAGTTTTATTTGTAATCAAGTATTTATTATATAAATATATATTAAGAATTAATGTTAGAAGTTTGAATCATGTCGCACACAATTATAAATTCTCTTATATTTTTAATTTTTCATATTACTGAAAATTTTCATCTTTTAACTTATTATAGTTTGTCCTTATAATTTTATTTATTTTTATTTTATAACCGTTTATACTCATTGTTATCTCCGGAAATATTTTTTCGGATAAACATATATTTATTAATATCATAAGTATACGACGGATATAAATAAAATTTTAGAGTGAACACTATCATTAAAATAAACAACTAAAAAAATAAAATTCATGCTCACCTGAAAAATACATTGTACTGATAATATCAACTGAACAAGAATAATAAGGATCTGGAATTGTAAACTGGTCGTGTTTCATTCTTACCGTTAAACCGGGTACACATGTTATGTCCAAGTTTTCATACTTCCTTCTGTTGGGAAGCTTTCAATTAAAGTGTCCAATTATCAAGGAAAAATATAAGATTTTACGTTACGAAATGAATTTATAAGTATTTAAAGATTAAATTTATTCATATAAATAAAATGAGACGAAAAATATGAACCTCGTTAAAAATCTCCTTAAACTTAAATAGAGTAAAAAGAGTCCATCATGAAAGTGTCGACAAAGAGGAGCAATGAAACGACTATCAGCGCAAGCAAAACAGAATAACTCGCTTGGCCACACGCATAACAAACAAAGGAACGCCAAAAAGATACAATATGCACATCACCTTACTAACAAACAGACAGAACCCAAACAACTCCTTAGCCGGTGTCTTCAGCCGGACTAAGCATATCCACCAAAATGCAAACAAACCAAGAAGAGCCTTCGACCCAATACCTTCAGCTAGAGCAGAGAAATAAATCATCAATAAAGTTAATAAAATTTTAAATTATATGAAATTTTTAAAGAAACGATCATCCTGTTAGTCCATTGATCCATCCATGCCGGTTGCTGCTCAACATTAGCTGATGCAAGTGATATGCTTGGAATAAAATTATTAATCATCATACACATGTTTTATGAATGCTTGGAATTAAAATTAAATCATCTTTTCTTTTGGCAGACACACCAAAAGCTTCAGCCATATCTAAATCTTCATGTCCCATTTCATTAGGAAGCTTCCAGTCAAAGTGGTAAAGCAATTTAGCCAAAGGCAACTCGATGTTAGGAAGTGCATACAATATGCCTGGACAAACTCTCCTTCCGGCACCAAATGGAATGAACTCCAAATTGGCTCCTTTGTAATCACTCGAACTATTCAAGAATCTCTCGGGATAAAACCGCTCCGGTTCGGTCCAATAGTTCGGATCTCTTGCTATAGCCCATGCGTTGACGATGACCCTTGTCTTTGCAGGTATTCGATATCCATTAATTTCACACTCCTCTCTATTTTCTCTTGGAATTAACAGAGGGAACGAAGGGTGTAACCTCAAGGTTTCTTTGATTACAAATGTCAAATATTTTAGTTCTTGAATACTTGCTTCATCCACGTCTCCTTTTTCATTACAGACATTTCTTACCTCATTTTGTGCCTTTTTTAGTACCCTCGGATTCTTCATCATTTCCGACATGGCCCAGTCGACGATCGTTGATGATGTCTCACTCCCCCCAATGAAAACATCCTGAGAGATCATGAGCCAATGTTAATTTATGTTAGAGTTCGATTCGAATTCAATATGACACATTAATTAAGAGATGATTAGAGAAAATAAGAAATTCAAAAAACCAGACATACTACCCCAAATGATTGCTTTGATGTCTTTGTCAGACAGGGGAAGTTCGAGCTCACCAAGTTGCTGAATCTTTAAAAGAACAGTAACCATGTCTTCCTTGGCTTCTTCTCCTTGATCACCTCTCTCCAGTCTCTCCCTATGTTCATCGATGATGCCTTGAAGTATCGCATCGCTCTTCTTAAACAAAGTCTCAAGCTTTTTGCTCATTCCACTCATCAATCGGAGCACTTTGGAAGAAGGGTACATGTCCGCAATACTAAAACCAGAAGCCAGTTTTACTATTTCATCAACAACAGATGAGTACAAGTTCTTATCGTTGTACTGACTACCAAATGCTACTCTCGATGTGATCCCATACGTCAAGCCAAATACTTTCTTACTAAGATTGATCTGCGACCCTTCATTTGCTGATATGTATCTAACCAGATTCGAGACTTGTTCTTGTCTGATTGATTCAAATGACTTGACTCTTTTCGCTGTCAAAAGCTCTAAAGTACAAATCTTTCGTACTTGTCTCCAGTAATTACCGTAGGGTGCCATGGCAATGTCCCTGTAACCATAAGTAATCGTGTTTATGGCGATCACGAAAGGTCGTTCGGAAAAGATAGTACCATGTGTTATCAAGACTTCCTTGGCGATTTCCGGCGAAGAAACGACGATGTTGGAGGTTTCTCCGAGCTGAAGGTGCATCAGTGGTCCATGTTGATCGGCGAGGCCTTTCAAGATGCGATGAGGGAGTGAGCCAACTAGCTGATGCAGGTTTCCGATCAAGGGTAATTTCCATGGCCCTGGTGGCAGCTGCTTGATGTTCGACTCCATGGTTTTCATCTTCTTCAAGATCTTAACTACTACTGACAAGAAAAGAAAGGAAGCAAACAAGGTTAACAAGTAGTGAAACTGAAGCTCCATTGTTAATGGGGAGTAGCACTCAATGACTAAGGAGAAACTGGATTTAGAGATCGAAATCGGATCCAATTTTTGTTGTATAAAGTCAACGGAAAAAGGATCCAACTTTAAAAAAAAATGCTCCCTCATACGTGTTTTCTTTGATTCTTTCTTTATAGGTTAAAATATTATTTTCCAGAGTAAGCAGGAGCCTGCCGTGTTTGAACAAACTGGTGTGATTCATAATGTTTTGAAATTTTATACTAATAAAGAAGAACAATAATTTATAATGTGACGTAAGAACCGAAATTTCTGCTATTTTAACATTAATTTCTGGATTTCATGGGGCCAAGAATCATGAATTTCATACATTTTTATATCATACTATAGGTATAATATTATGCGAATTTCGAGATCCTTACTTTCGGTGCTGTTTTTATTATGGCTTCATATGAGTGCTCAAACCAATAACGAATAAGCTTCTAAAGTATTTTTTGATTAATTCCGATACTTAAAGTTATAAATATTATAATTTTAGGTGTTTAAGTTGTCAATGGTGTTAATTTTCTTCATTAAATCACGCGTGTCACAATCTGGTAATTTTAAAAATTTAAGTAAAATGAAAAAATTAAAATTATAGATTTATAAAAAAAATAAAATTTTTGAAATAACCTAAAAGATTTGAAAATCTTCATTTCAACCCCAAAACACACGTCGACCGTAGCCCTTTGTCGTCGATGAAACTCCACCGAACCTCACCTCCCCCGATGACCAAAACTCCTATGAAATCGTGATCGATCGACGACGAATCAATGTTTTATACCCACAAACCCTAGGATGAAAATCGCGATCCCATGCGATTCCGACGACCAATCGAAGACAATTACGGCGACTTATGACTAGGAGGATGAGAGAGACTACATCGACGGTGATGGTTGAGGCCAGAAAGGGTGGTGGTGACAGGTTAAGTTTAGGATTTGGGGATTTTTGGGATTTTTGGGTTTTTTATAATTTAAGAGAAATTAATTTTTTTAATAAATATAATAATATTTTTTTAAAAATAATTTCAAAAATATCATATTGTTACTTGTGTCACTTAACCAAGGAAATTAACAACATTGACGACCCAAGCACCTAAAATGATAATGTTTGTAATGTTAGGTACCAGAATGAGTCAAAAAATACTTTAGCCACCTATTCATAAAAAGCAGTATAATTTGGGCACTTATTGTGATATTAAGCATTTTATGATCCATTTATGTTATTCCAATATTATCTCCGGCTTTGTCCCATTTTCAAATTTGTTCATTATTTCATAATTTAAAAAATAATAATAAAATAAATTTAATCTTAAATTTAATTTCATCAAAAATAGTTTTTTGCTTAAATTTTTGTTATAAAAAATAGATTTATTGATAATGTTTTAGTATTAGATATGAACAAGAAATTTTAAATTCTTCACTTTAAAAGTTTAGAAGCAAATTGTGTATAAATACTAAAGGTCAATTTTTCATTACTTTTTTCTATAAGAGTTTGGGTTTGGGGAGTGAGGCAAGGTGAGGCTGATGAGGGTTTGAGGGAGAGTGTGGATGATTAATGAGCTGAGCAGCTCATGAGTTGTTCGAATTTAATTCGATTAAAATTTGATAAATATTCGATTCGGGTTGAATCAACTCAAATTGAGTTTGATTTGAGAACTTAATGACTTGAGTCGAGCAAAACCCAACTCGGCTCGTTAAATTTACGAACTTACAAACGACTTGTTAATTTTTATATAATTTTTAGTAGTTTGGTGATTGCAAGCAACAATGAATGGAATGAATAAATATTGGTTTTCTTATTTTTAGGATTAATTATGTATCGTTGAACTTCTTTTATTTTAAGAATTTTTTAATATGTTAGTTTAACGTATTTAGAGATCATTACTTTAGTTTTAATATGTTAGCTTGATGTATTTGTGGATTGTTATCTTGAAGTTTTTGACTTTGAAATTGCTTCATAATCATACACTATTTTGATAATTTTTTGGTTAGTTTTGTTAATTTATGTTTATATTAAGCTCTATATAGTATTAGTGGATTTTATCTATAGTTAGAAAATAAGGTAAAATTTATAGCGAATTTAAACGAGCAACGATCTGAATGAGCAACAAGTTTTTTTAACGAGAACAAGTTGAGTAAAATTTTAACGAGCTTATTGAGCAATGAGTCGAATCGAGTAACAAATTTTTTTAATGAGCATGAGTTGAGCACTGCCCAAATCACGACCGACTCGCTCGATAAGCACCTCTAAGATCAATGAAGATTTGAAGTTTATTGTTTTGAGATTAGGGTTATAATTTAACGTTTGCAAGTAAAATTTAAAGATTTTAATTATTTAAAAAATCTTATATTACATAATTATTTAAAAAAAAAGTTATCTCATAATTAAATATTAAAAAATATATAACAGTAGAGTGATAAAAATAAGAGTAATTATAATATTGTACGTTAATTTTGATAATTTTTAAATTTTAGTGACAAAGTAATGTAGAGTGATAATAATTTATAATTTCATAATGATTAAGAAAGGCAAATTCTTTTGAATGGTGTCTTAAAAAAAATTAATCATATAAAATGCATGAATTTTTTATGTTAAAATATTTGTTACAATACTCATTAAAATTCGTATGGAATACACCATATTTTTTAAAATCATATCGATTTTAGTTAGGGATGGGCATCGGGTCAGGTTTCGGTCAATCCGATCCGACTAAAAAATTTTACATCCTTCACCCGACCCGACCCAAAAATATATACCCTCCACTAAACCCCAAATAATAAAAAATATTATTTTTATTCAATAAAAATAATGATTTAATTGAAAAAATAATATATAGAGAGGTATTATTGTAATTATTCTTACATATATAATAGGCATGTAAACGAACCGAACGCACACGAACGGAGGTATGTTTATGTTCGTTCATTTAATAAATAAATGAACATAAACATAAACAAACAAAAAAATTTTTGTTGATATTCATTCATTAAGGAATATAGTTTGTTCATGTTCATTCATTTAAATAATAAACGAACACGAACGAACGAACATAAATGAACACAATAAACGAACAACACAAACAAAAAAAACTTATTCGACCACAACAAACGAATGTAAAAAAAGTAAACAACAAGAATAACAACTTAAAATTCATTAATATAACCTGCAACTTTAGAGTTAATTTGTTCGAATACAACAAAACAATCTTCTTGAAATTCAAACAACTTTAATAATCTTCGTAACATATTCAACTTGCCTTCTGTTCGAATATTAATGAACATAAATGAACGAACATAAACGAACATATAATCGAACGTTCACGAACGTAAATGAACGAACGAGCCCTTTGTTTATGTTCGTTCATTTAATTAAACGAACGCAAAATCTTGTCCATGTTCGTTCATTTAATAAATAAACGAACATAAACAAACTTCCCGCCGCACGGTTCATGAACGGTTTGATGAACGTTCAGTTCATTTATAGGCTAATATATAAGATAAAATTAAATTTTTTTTAGGTCAGATATTTTATATCATAAACCCGAATCTGACCCAACCCAACCCGAATATCACCTTAAAAAATCCTACCCAAAACTGATTTTTTTATCTAAAAAAATCAAACCTATCGAAAAGGTCATATCAGAACCGACCGAATTCGGATCCCATCCCTAGTTTTAAGGGCATATTCTTCGTACTTTAAAACAAGTGAAAGAGAAGACGGAAGCCTCGTGTGTATATATATATATATATACACGTACACGTCCTCCCGTATTCATTCACTGTTATTAAAATGATTCTCATAGTTAATGGGTTTGGGCTTGGTTCTATTTCTCTCTTCACATGTGATTTTATTTTTCTTGAAAACTTTTATCGAAAATAGAATTTGTGCTTGAAATTAGGATTTATTTAGGGATTGGGGCTCCTCTCTAAAAAAAGTTTTTTTTATTGGAGTTAAAGGTTAGTCATAGGGATGGTAACCCGAATCCGACGGGTTCCGACCCGACCCGACCCGATCGGGTCGGATTTTTTTTTAAAAAAATCGGGTTCGGGTCGGGTCGGGTCGGGGGTTTTTTAAATGTACTATTCGGGTCGGGTCGGGTCGGGTTTAGGGTGAAAAAAATCCGACCCGACCCGACCCGAAAAATATATATAATTTTATCCTATATATTTAGGGATAATTACAATAATGTCCCTCCATATATAATTTTTTTCAATTAAGTCACTGTTTTCATTGAATAATTTTTTTTTATTATTATTTCGGGTCGGGTCGGGTTTCTAAGTCATATATTCAGGTCGGGTCGGGTCGGGTGAAACCTTAATTTCGTCGGGTCGGGTCGGGTCACGGGTGAAAAACCCTTTCTTCTCGGGTCGGGTCGGGTGGCCCAAAAACCCGACCCGACCCGACCCATTGCCATCCCTAGTTAGTCAGCTCTTGTCTCGCCTGGTCAAACGGGGTCAATTAAGTTAACATGCCACATCATTCTCTCGTTAATAGAAAAATAACTATCAACGATGGAGTGATTGATTTCTTATGAATCAATAACATTAACGATTGTTTCATTATTTTTAAAATCTCAATGCCGAAAAGAAACTTATTATCACGTAGTCTGCCCTTAATTTTATATGTTATTATTAGAATATTATAAACATTTCGAAACTGTTCCACCAGTCATGCAATTTTTGTCCAAGGCTGCCATATCCTCATTTGTTTACGACGCTGACTTTAAAACCAAAACAAATAGTGTATAAAATTTGGAGAATATTTTGAAAAAGTACGAATAAAGGGATTCTACAATGACAAGATGCCAGACCATCTCTTTGGGACCAAATCATCTTCAATTATGGCTGCTTTCAAAAACGTTGACCATCTCTCTTTCTTATTTGTGTAATTAGGTCATGCTAATAAAAAAAAGAGTAAAGTATACAAATGGTCACTGAACTTTTTAAATGCTTACATTTAGGTCCTTCAACTTTTAAAACTTGCAATACAGTCACCAAACATTTAGTTCGTTTGCAATATGCTCCCCGACGTAACAGTCGTTTCACT